CCCCGTCCAAACACCTGACCCCGTCCAAACACCTGACCCTGTCCAAACACCTGACCCTGTCCAAACACCTGACCCTGACCCCGTCCAAACACCTGACCCTGACCCCGTCCAAACACCTGACCCCGTCCAAACACCTGACCCCGTCCAAACACCTGACCCTGTCCAAACACCTGACCCTGTCCAAACACCTGACCCTGACCCCGTCCAAACACCTGACCCTGACCCTGTCCAAACACCTGACTCTGACCCCGTCCAAACACCTGACCCCGTCCAAACACCTGACTCTGACCCCGTCCAAACACCTGACCCCGTCCAAACACCTGACCCCGTCCAAACACCTGACTCTGACCCTGTCCAAACACCTGACCCTGTCCAAACACCTGACCCTGACCCCGTCCAAACACCTGACCCCGTCCAAACACCTGACCCTGACCCCGTCCAAACACCTGACCCTGTCCAAACACCTGACTCTGACCCCGTCCAAACACCTGACCCTGACCCCGTCCAAACACCTGACCCCGTCCAAACACCTGACCCTGTCCAAACACCTGACCCTGACCAAACACCTGACTCTGACCCTGTCCAAACACCTGACCCTGACCCCGTCCAAACACCTGACTCTGACCCTGTCCAAACACCTGACCCTGACCCCGTCCAAACACCTGACCCCGTCCAAACACCTGACTCTGACCCTGTCCAAACACCTGACCCTGACCCCGTCCAAACACCTGACCCTGTCCAAACACCTGACTCTGACCCCGTCCAAACACCTGACCCCGTCCAAACACCTGACCCTGTCCAAACACCTGACCCTGTCCAAACACCTGACCCTGACCCCGTCCAAACACCTGACCCTGACCCTGTCCAAACACCTGACTCTGACCCCGTCCAAACACCTGACCCTGACCCTGTCCAAACACCTGACCCCGTCCAAACACCTGACCCTGACCCTGTCCAAACACCTGACTCTGACCCCGTCCAAACACCTGACCCGGACCCCGTCCAAACACCTGACCCTGACCCCGTCCAAACACCTGACCCTGACCCTGTCCAAACACCTGACCCCGTCCAAACACCTGACTCTGACCCCGTCCAAACACCTGACCCTGACCCCGTCCAAACACCTGACCCCGTCCAAACACCTGACCCTGTCCAAACACCTGACCCCGTCCAAACACCTGACCCTGACCCCGTCCAAACACCTGACTCTGACCCCGTCCAAACACCTGACCCCGTCCAAACACCTGACCCTGTCCAAACACCTGACCCCGTCCAAACACCTGACCCTGACCCCGTCCAAACACCTGACCCTGTCCAAACACCTGACCCTGACCCCGTCCAAACACCTGACCCTGACCCCGTCCAAACACCTGACCCTGACCCCGTCCAAACACCTGACCCTGACCCTGTCCAAACACCTGACCCCGTCCAAACACCTGACTCTGACCCTGTCCAAACACCTGACCCTGACCCCGTCCAAACACCTGACCCTGACCCCGTCCAAACACCTGACCCCATCCAAACACCTGACCCTGTCCAAACACCTGACCCTGTCCAAACACCTGACCCCGTCCAAACACCTGACCCTGACCCCGTCCAAACACCTGACTCTGACCCCGTCCAAACACCTGACCCCGTCCAAACACCTGACCCTGTCCAAACACCTGACCCCGTCCAAACACCTGACCCCGTCCAAACACCTGACCCTGTCCAATCACCTGACTCTGACCCCGTCCAAACACCTGACTCTGACCCCGTCCAAACACCTGACCCCGTCTAAACACCTGACCCTGTCCAAACACCTGACCCTGACCCTGTCCAAACACCTGACTCTGAGCCCGTCCAAACACCTGACCCTGACCAAACACCTGACCCCATCCAAACACCTGACCCTGTCCAAACACCTGACTCTGACCCCGTCCAAACACCTGACTCTGACCCCGTCCAAACACCTGACCCCGTCCAAACACCTGACCCCGTCCAAACACTGACCTTGTCCAAACACCTGACTCTGACCCCGTCCAAACACCTGACTCTGACCCCGTCCAAACACCTGACCCCGTCCAAACACCTGACCTTGTCCAAACACCTGACCCTGACCCTGTCCAAACACCTGACCCCGTCCAAACACCTGACCTTGTCCAAACACCTGACCCTGACCCTGTCCAAACACCTGACCATGACCCCGTCCAAACACCTGACCCCGTCCAAACACCTGACTCTGACCCCGTCCAAACACCTGACCATGACCCTGTCCAAACACCTGACCCCGTCCAAACACCTGACCCTGTCCAAACACCTGACCCTGTCCAAACACCTGACTCTGACCCCGTCCAAACACCTGACTCTGACCCCGTCCAAACACCTGACCTCGTCCAAACACCTGACCCCGTCCAAACACCTGACCCTGTCCAAACACCTGACCCTGACCCTGTCCAAACACCTGACCTTGTCCAAACACCTGACCCTGACCCTGTCCAAACACCTGACCATGACCCCGTCCAAACACCTGACCTGTCCAAACACCTGACCCTGACCCTGTCCAAACACCTGACCTTGTCCAAACACCTGACCCTGACCCTGTCCAAACACCTGACCATGACCCCGTCCAAACACCTGACCTTGTCCAAACACCTGACCCTGACCCTGTCCAAACACCTGACCATGACCCTGTCCAAACACCTGACCCCGTCCAAACACCTGACCCTGTCCAAACACCTGACCCTGACCCTGTCCAAACACCTGACCCTGTCTAAACACCTGACCCCGTCCAAACACCTGACCCCATCCAAACACCTGACCCTGTCCAAACACCTGACCCCGTCCAAACACCTGACCCTGACCAAACACCTGACCCCGTCCAAACACCTGACCCTGACCAAACACCTGACCCTGACCAAACACCTGACCCTGACCCTGTCCAAACACCTGACCCTGTCCAAACACCTGACCCCGTCCAAACACCTGACCCTGACCCTAACCCCATCCAAACACCTGACCCTGACCAAACACCTGACCCTGACCCTGTCCAAACACCTGACCCTGTCCAAACACCTGACCCCGTCCAAACACCTGACCATGACCCC